AATCATACTAAAATATAAAGAAAAATGCTCAATTTTTCAGTTAAGAAACACCTAACTCACATCAATACTGCTCTCTAACCCTAGAACCTACTTTTTTTTATTTAACACATCGTTGTTTGTAATTATTAATCTATATAAATGACTATTATAACATACTAATATCCTATGGTGTAGAATTATGTATAGTGATAAAAATAGCCTATTTAGCCATCAAGGTCATGTCATATGGGTATTAAAGCGTACATTATAATTTTAATAAGTATGCTATTAAATAATTATATTAATATTTAATTAGACGTTAAATGTTTGACGACACGTTTGGCTCAGTTTGTTGTGATCGTACATGCTTTGCCAGCGGTCGTGGATTCGGGTCCCGTTGTGTGATGAGCACAACGATGTTTGTACTCCAGTCATAGGTGTTTATATTTATGTGTGTATTTAAAGTTTATATATATGTTTATATCAACTATCTGGTATCCATAACACAAGCCTCGTAGCTTACCATGGAACTAGATGGTGCTGTGTGTTAATGTCCCAACATATTTATTTATGTTCAAAAATAAAAACAGGATATGTTTCGAATTATTTATTTCATCGTCGAGATACTCCAAATTACACAAAAATACTGGAACATCTTATTTCAAGTTATCAGCTCAAAAATGGCCAAACTCATTTTTTAAATTATTTAAAATATTATTTTTTTATATATCAGATTATTACTTTTTGCCCGACTGCATAATATTATATTCATACGTCATTTTTTTTCATATTTTTAGTTTGCTTTTTGTGGAATCGTTTTTTTTTATAATTTATTTTCTATCGAATTTTAACATATTACATTAGTAATATAATATGCATTATAATTTTACTGTGACATACGTATATGACGTATATATAAAAAAAAAACTTTTTTTCAATAAAAAAAGTTTATGGGTTAGACCACTTTTGCACTGAAACTTATTATAATCAATATTTACATCTTACATTGCAACATATTTTGTAGGAGAGATCAAATAATTTTTGAATGTGAATTTGAAAAAAAACAGAAAAAACATTTTTAATGTGTAAAAAATTCTCTTACTTTTAATTAACAGTTATATCCGTATACTTCCATAGTTTAATTATTACACTTTATAACCTTGTAATTAGTTAATTTAAAAAAAAATGAAACAAAAAGAGATACTTGGTCGTTTCAACGACAAAGCTCTTAATATATAGAAAAAATTTTTTTTTCCTATTTTACTACCAAATCAACATTGGGTCCAACGAAGGAGTTAATCAATCGATTAAACTTCGAACAATCTACTTCTATCTTGTTACATCTAAACAATAGCAAAATATTATCTTTATTAATTATTTCAAAGCAATTACTATTAGGTACTTTATTATAATGTAAGAAAAATATACGACTTTTAATTGAATTACATATTATAAGTCTCTAATTACTGTCAATGTTAGTGACTTTGGCCTGTCAAACTAACATTTACGATAAAAAAATGAAATAAAAAAATAAACAAAGCTTATTTATACCTTGATCATATATTTTTTTATATCAACTATACTCGTATATTGAAACAACACTGGAAATTTTAATATCTGATGAAAATCTAGAAACTATAGTAAAAAATTGTTAGTTATGTCAATGTTACCCCGTAATTGACTAATTGTAAACAAAAATTATATATATCGTATATTAAATGCGAGGCTGTTAAATACCTTGGCATTTTAATTCTTTTGATCCTTTATATTCTATGGGAGCTGAGCATTTGCTCAATTTACACTTTTTATCTAAAAAAAATTTACAAAAAAAAAGTAACTTACAACAAATTATCATTTTTCAATAGGAAATATGCGTGTAATTTAACTAAAGGTGATCTTTTTCTATAATTTTTATTTGAATTAAGTCCATATGAATATATTTTAAATGTAATTTCTTTTCGATGAAGAAAATATTTATTAAAAAGTGCAAAAACAGGTGGAAAATTCAAAGTAAGTGAAACGCACGCCATTGGTCAGACCGAAGTATATCATAATATAGCGATTAGCGATTTTATCGCTAACATTGCGTCGTCATTTCTCTGTGTATATCATACTGTGACGTCACGCCAAGCGCGCGAAATGGCGAGCGTTTAAGGTATCCGAAACAGTGTGGTATTTAAAAAAAATATTATACTAAATTTTTGTTTTTTGGAGCTGGGTATTTTTTTACAATTATATAACAATGTAAGCTATTGTAAAAAAAATCATACATATTCCCTATTGGTTTTATTTTTTTATTCAGAACATCTGTATTATTATGAACTGTTAAAGCTTCATCTCCATTAACACTCGAGAGAAATATTTCAAGGGCATATTTGTGCAATATGTAGAAAAAATTATTTCTTGTATGTAGCCTTTTGTATGTAGTTTTTTTATTTAATGGCAACAAAATTGTTAATTTAAATTATAAGATATACATAATTTTAAAATATGTTAAATTGTACTTTAGAAAAATATTTGTATCTTTTATTTAAAGTTTTCAACAATAATTTCATTGGCACTGACATATTGTGGCACAAATATCCCATTTTCAATCAGAAATTCTGTTTAAAAAAAACTTAATTAAAATACAAAATAAAGTTTTTATTAATTTTATTTTAATTTAGAAAATTATGTTACATATGTAAAGCCTCTTTAAAAAATATTTAAGACAATAATAATGCCAAAATGTAATCTTTAAAAAAATGGCGTTTTTAGAATACACAATAAATTAAATTTAAATATCTTAACTGAATATTGTTTTGAAAATCAATTTTAAAAATACTGTCAACCAGACAAACAATAATTTAAAAAAAATACAAAAAAAATCACTGCAGTAAATTTAGTCATTTGAAATTGTTTTTATACTCTATGATAACATATCTATACTACAAAAAAAATAACAAAACTAAATTCAAATATATATGGAAAGTAGTTACAGACCAAAATGCAGACAGACATTCAAACCAAACATATAAATGTACCAATTTTCAAAACTCAAAAAAAAAACTACAAATATTAATTAAACGTAAGTATCTAAAAATACTATTTTTTATATATATATATCTAATAATATTATAGTGCTAATAATGAAAAAGCGAAATCATTATGGAGTCGACATAACGCCTGCAAGGCAGAAATTATAGCTCAGTACTGAGATAATATAAATATAGAAAAAAATCTTAAATTTAAAATCTAAATGAGAGTTACAATGTTATTCTTTGCAGGTGTTGTTATATACATTTGTCTCTTTCTAAACTACTTAGGAGTTTAATCGAATAGAAAGGAAAGAGATAGAAGTAGTTATTTTCTGTCTCACTCATTCCGTTAAATTTTCTTTGAAGCTTGTTAGCACTATATTAGGATTAGATATATGTTAGTACTACTAAGTGCACCGCTCTGAAGTTCGCTGCAAATGGCTTCGCAATAGTCAATATTGCTAGGAATATAGTATCACTTAATTTGCGAATGTTTGACATGTTACAATGCGATTATAGTGCCATAAACTTATCAGACCCAGTGGCCAAGGCTGGAACTACGTGTCGCCATTTTAAAATGTCATTTTATTTTCAAGTGTTTTTTTGGAATCAGTCTTAAAATTACCCAGATGATTATCTACCTGATCATAATTACAATATAATTTATTAAAAAAATTGTTTGCAATATTATTCCTTGTATAACAATGATTAAAACGGCAAATAAACATTTCGATTACTCCTCGCGCTTGCACTGTCATTATTTTACCCTAAAAACTGCGAAAAATCTATTTAGCGGCAATACTAAATTCAACAACAGCGACACCATTACCAAGTCAGATAAGTTTGTGGCACTGTACTGAAGTTATTGCAACGTGATGTGACATATCAACATACATGGAATACAGTTGACAATGTAGATTAAATAATAATATTTTAAACTGACTTAGAAATTGCTTTTAATTCCTTATTTATTTAACATGTGATTTAAATAAAGCACTATATGATATGCTCAAAATGATAAACTATAAGTTTCATACACTTCACTAAATGTCTTTTTTGTATTGAATGAAAATATCGAAACTAATCATTGCCCGTAGCTTCGTCTATACTAATTAAGTAAAAGTAACCATTTTATCTTGATCTCTGTTATATATTGTATAGTAATTTATTGAAAGATCAAGTTTAATAAAATACTTAGAAAATAAATAAATAAATACTTATATTATATCTTAACATATTTTTTGTGATTAATGCTTTAAAGATTATATTATACATGTACTTGTATGTATGTATGTAAAAATATTTAAGTAATTTCGAACATACCGTTAAAAGTTCAATGTACAGACGACTTCACCGACTTCATACCATAACAGCACAGATAAAAAATATTAATATAAAGGAAAAGGATACATAATTACGTTTATTTATATTTTTCAATTTGGCAACAACTCCGTTCTTATTAAAAAATATCTTAATACTAGAAGTGACAGTACATTATTTTAAACTGGGTTGTAATGTAATATGTACCTTATCACTTACACTCGAAAGTCCAATTTACAAATTTATCATTTGTACTAAAACACATCACAACACTTAAAATTCTGATGACATTTTTATTTTTTATTATACTTTCATTTTAAATTAGGTACTAGTTTTTTTTTGTAATTTTATCTTCACATCGGCATAAGACTCACTGAGTTTCGACACGTTAAAATTTTCGAATGCGAAATTCAACAAGGAATTTAGTATCCACTGATATGGCAATTTTATTATTCAAAGTTATACATAACTACATATGGTTATTAACACCATTATAATTTGTATGCCACATACACTTCCATAACCAACACTATAATATAACTTGAAAGTTATTTTTTTTTTGACAATTTTCATTTGGCTGTATAAAAGTAAGCTTTTGCCTATTTTCACTTGACACTTCAAAAACACTTGTAACAGTTTTTAACCCATTTCAGATTAGAGATATTATGTTTTTGGCATTTTTTATTTCTCTCCTTTCAATGCTTGATCGAGTATCGCCTTAGACGCTATTTCGACGGTCACAGTTTTGCTTATGGTCGATAGTTGGTTTTGATCGGTGTTCAGTTCCATAGGCTCGGTTAAAATCTTCAGTGAAGACACTTTGGCACGCTGGTATGCTGTGATTGTGTGTGTTCCAAGACACCTATAAAATAAGAATTTAATATATTACAACAATATCTATACTTGGCATGTAAGAAAATAATTTATTTATTATCTACTAATAATAGTTAGAGTACTGTCTGTAACAACTAAATAATGACATTTGAGACATCTAAAACCTTAGTCTGCCCCGTGACCATGTACGTTGTAAAGCATTCGAAAGGTCGGGAACCAAAAATCAAAACAAATCCGCGAAAAATCCGAAAAGATAGTTCTATTTAAAATGTCAAATATTCGTGTAAATCTAAGAAAGTATTTATAATAATATTAATACTATAGACCATTGGATATCTGCTCTATACTATTATAAAAAGGAAAGATTTGTATTTTTGTATGTTTGTAACGAATAAACTCAAACACTACTGGATCGATTTAAATGAAATTTGGTAAGATGCTTGAGATCCTAGGAAGGACATAGGATATTTTTATCCCGGAAATCATCCCTTAAAGTGGTGAAAATGGGGATGCAAGTTTGTATTGGGAATCAAGCTAGGGACGAAGTGAGTCGCTAGTGTTATAAATATAAACACCCACGACTGGAGTACAAACATCCGTGCTCATCTCACACCAGGGAGGGAGGCACGCACCGTATGACGACGTAGCAGACGAGCAGCGCGGCGCCGGCGGCCAGCACGCGCGGCACGGGCGACGGGAACAGCTGCACCAGCGCCCACGCCGCGCCCGCCGCCGCGCACGCGCACGCCACGCCCAGCGCCGTGCGCGTCCAGTGCGCGCGCGTGAACCCGCGCTCCCACTCCACCCTGGGACACACATTATTTTATTTATTTAGGTACACAAACAGAAGACAGATTAAAAAAAACATATGTGTGTATTTATGTACGCACGTAAGAAGTGTAAGTGTCTTCTTTGGTGTAACAGAACAAAAATACCTAAACATTTCATCCCGTATGTCACAACTGTCTGTTTGTAAAAGGAATGATAAATTAATGAAATAATTAAATGAAGCATATTACAATCAAATATTTATAGAATATCATTAAAGAAAAGAATATAATATTATATATCATTTGTCAGACAATAACAACGGTTACCATGGCAACCAACAGTTATCAGCTAACTTCATCACGTCGCTTTTTGGCTGTCGGTATGCGCGCGCATCGTAAAAATTTTACTCTCATATTTTTTTCCAAAAGTCCCAAAAGAAGTAGAACTTAAAAAAATTACAACTACGTATTAAAAGCTAAAATATCATTTTAAATTTGTTGTTCAGTTATATCTATCTGTACACAACATTCGAATAAATACATATAATTATATTAACAAACTTAACCAAAATGTGAATAATATAATAAGTGTATTTAAATTTAGATACAAATATTAAAAACAAAAAAAATATACTTAAATTTCATTTAAAAAATATATATATATAGTCAACATAGTATACTACTCCGCCCTACAACGTTTATATCGACATAGTTATAAAGAAATATCTATACTAATATTATAAAGAGGTAAAGTTTGTGAGTTTGTGACGTTGTAGGGGGTAATCTCTGGATCTACTGAACCGATTTAAATGAAATTTGGTAAGTTAGCTCAAGACTCTGAGATGGACATAGGAGGACTTTTTATCCCGGAAATCATCACCTAAGGGGGTGAAAATGGGAATGAAAGTTTGTATGAGGAATTAACCTAGGGAGTAGGGATGAACCCGAGCGAAGCGAGGTTGAGTCGCTAGTATATTATATACTCTTTTTTCCTTTTTTCCCTCTCAATGTTTTACATGTATTTGTTGGTGAATGTTAGGTACACTTGTTATTGATATACATATCAGTGAGCGTATTACTTTTCAATTTATCATATAATTTAGTGTGTTAACGTTAAATATGTACTTATGAAAACATAAATAGATCTAAACAAACAACATTACCATTCAAAAATCCAAAAGAGAATTACATTACACCTTATTCAACAACTCGAATTCCATATCCATCAATAGCGATATTTTAAACCAGATGGCGGAATAATCGCGCGCCCATATATACATACATATAACAAGAAAGCATACCTATTCGTTTCTTGTACGATGTAGGGCGTGTTGCACACCTTGCATTTTAAGCCATCAGGAGACGAAGCACTCTGAAAGTAATTAAACAAATAGTATTAAATTATTAATATATCACAAACTGCCCACAAAAAATTTACATATAATTACAAATACATAATAACAGAGACAAGAACATAATTTTGGTTTTGTAATTTATCTAAATACGAAAAAAAACATGTAAAAAATTCTTTAAAGTTGCCAAAAGACCTCCAGAAAATAAACGGCTCGAGCCACTTTTTATTAACGTCGGGAAATGCATTTACTCCTAGCACTTGGCATACACACAGGTGGTTATGCGGGACTCATCGGCTAGAAAAGCCATGGTAGAAGGCTCGAACCACTAGACAAACAGAACAAAAAAAATCACATTATACCTACTATGTATTCAATAACAATTTACATAATCCAGTAACATTTCCATAACGTACCTCTACCAGCCATCTTCTCAAACAGTCATGATGGACGGCAGCAACGTCCCCCGTACATCTGCACGGCGTTATTAGAGGCTCAGGCCGAGAACTGTCGTAGCATATCCAACAGTCGCGAACCGAACCCACACTCCCCACGAGAGAGTCGGTCTCATAGTTCTGAAAAATTATCGATTGCTTGAAAATGGTTAATTAACTCCAGCAATGTTTTATTTTTGCCCTACATAATCTAAATCTGGATAAAAACGATTGAGCACGTTTTAAGATAATATTATTTGCAATTGTTAGTAATTTTGTTAGTAAACTAGAAACTAAACCACAATAAGAAGGATCTGAACAAATTTTAAGTAACATGTAAGAAATTCAAGAGAAAATTTAAACACTGGTAAGAACACTCACCAAATTGCCATTACAATCCTCAATAGATTTTATAGGTTTGGAATAAAGAAACGCCGCGATAAGCACTTTCCAAAGAGAGCATTCAAAATCTCGTAGAACCTTGAGGAAAAATCTCGCCTTTTCTGGCCAAGGAAGTTGAAGAAGTATCACCATAGTCTGGGAAGGTATATTATCGTTCATATTGACACATCCGCCAAGTTACGCTTAATGCATATCGGCCAAGTTGCGCTTAAGCATATTAGCCAAGTCAAAAGCTAAAACGCTTCCCAGACAAATGGCCAAGTTGGCTGATGAGGACAAAACTTGCAAGCATACGATACTCATTCAGAAAACTGAAAGCGTGAAAGCTGAAGACTTAAGCGATCCTGATGAGATAATTAATGTATACCACATATTCTGAAGCGACATATACATACATATGTACAAAATATTGTTTTATTTAGACAATATTAGGATAAAAATATAAGAATAAACTATGGATTTTATTGTGCTACGGATGGTCTTATCGCTCAATGGGCGATATCTTTCAGGGAACTTTAAACGTAAAGAATGAAACAGAGTAATTTTATATAAAATAAAGAACTACGTTTTTTTTTTTCATTTTGTTTTAACAACAAAAAACTTAATTTAGATTGTTTTAATAAATTTTGAATCTGTTAGTCTTTTTTATAATAATAAATTCTGATCTAAAACCAAAAAATTAAATGCGTCTTTACTAACATTTTAAATAAAACTATCTTTTCGGATTTTTCGCGGATTTATTTTGATTTTTGGTTCCTGACGTTCCGAATGCTTTACAACAATCATGTCACGAGAAAGTAAGGTTTTAGAAGTCCCAAAGCCATTATATACTTGTTACAGACAGCCTACGCACAAAATAACAAAATGAATTCAAAAAACTGAAATAATGACACCAAATTTGGTATTGAAAAAATCCGTAATAATAGTTTTATTCAAAATGTCAAATATCGCGTAATTCTAAGAAAGTATTATGCTTTAACTGACTCAGTTCATTTTAAACGTCGTTTAAACAAAGACAAAAACCTTTCAAATAAAAAAACTATTGAATACACATTTACCAACACCATATATAGTACAAAGCTTAGAAAGATAAATAAAACAAATCTCTAACATCACGTTACACAGTAATATGATTCATAGAAATCAACATGCTTAAGTAACTATAGTTTGTAAATAATATTAATATTGACCAAACTTGACGTGATGAGATTTGTTATAGTTATAGTTATTTATCGTAAACAATTCAACAACAAGTAGTTCGTCGTCTAAGTGCTTATTTGTCCAAACGATGAATTTACCGGTTTAACAGTTTTTAATAGAGAATTGAATGTATATTTAGACCTTTTTAACGTCCCACTGCTGGGAGTGGGCCTCACTTCAATGCGAGGGGGATCAGGCCATAGTCCACTACGCACAAGTGCGGGCAAACTGAGCATTTCTTACGAAAACTTGCTAGGTTCTCTCATAAATGCAGGTTTCCTCACGACATTTTCCTTCACCATAAGACAAGTAGTAATCATGTGGAAATGATTCGCACATGAAAATATCAGAGGTGCGATCTCTGAATCATCGACCCGGGGTTTGAACCCGCTTCACTCGGTTTCCCAAGCGACCGCATTGCCACTGGTTTACCACTACCCTAATATAAATACATACATAATGCAGAATCATTGACTTTTAAATGTGAATTCTATTGGTATTAAATACACATTTTACTTTAATGAAGCCGAAAAAATGTATTTAAGTATATAAATCTTAGAAGGAAAAAAAATCTTTATTGTTAATTACAGAAAGCTTAGCTCGTTTGAACAAATAAGCACTAAAGCGACGTGGTAATGAATATTATGTAAATTAGTAATAATACCTATATATTTTCTTGAATAATATCGCAAGATCATCGACAATAACACCTATCGATCTATCGATTTTATTTATATAATCTATAAATATATAATATTATAAAAAGTTTAAGTTTGTGAGTTTGTCGTTTGCGAATGTGACGTTGTAGGGGGTAATCTCTGGATCTACTGAAACGATTTAGATGAAATTTAGTAAGAAGATAGTTTGAGACCCTGGGAAGGACATAGGATACTTTTTATCCTGGAAATCATGGATGATTTTTGATTAAGGGATTAAGGGGGAGAAAAAGGGGTTGAAAGTTTGTATGGGGAATCAACCTGTGGACGAACCCGAGCGAAGCGAGGGTGAGTCGCTAGTCTTATATAATCTTATACATAAAGATATAATTAATATATAGCATATTTAGCCATTCATTCCTAACCTACATCCACACTACATTGGATAAATGCGCCAATGTCACGCGTATCACATTTTGTGCTGATAAACTTAAAAATTCGGTCAAGTGCGAGTCGAAGTCGCACACGAAGGGTTCCGTACCATCGTTCACGTACTTTTTATTATTATGACTTATACTCTATTTATGTAGTATATTAACTCCGATGATCGTTACGAACGCAGAAAAAATGTTTCTGTATTTTTATTTATTTTTATTATCTGTTGTTATAAGCGGCAATAGTAATACATACTCTGTGAAAATTTCAACTCTACCTATTACGGTTCATTAGATACAGCCCTCTAACAGACGGACAGACGGACGAACAGCGAATGCTTAGTAATAGGGTTCCATTGGCACCCTACGGGTTTACACCCTTCATGTGCACGGGCCCAAATAATCCATATTACTTAATAATTTCTTAGATTTACGCGAATACTTGACATTTTAAATAAAACTATCTTTTCGGATTTTTTCGCGAATTTATTTTGATTTTTGGTTCCCGACGTTTGGAATGCTTTACACGGGAGAGACTCTCCCGTGACCTTGATTGCTGTAAAGCATTCGAAACGTCGGGAACCAAAAATCAAAATAAATTCGCGAAAAAATCCGAAAAGATAGTTTTATTTACAATCCATATTACTACTATAAAAACGAAAGAAATTCTGTCTGTCTGTTTGTTAAGTTTTCACGCCTAAGCCGCTAAACCGATTTTGATAAAGTGTTCGCGCCACTCGGGCGCGACGATTGGTTCCCTGATTTGCTTTCTCACTCTTACTCATTGATTCGGCGCGAGCGTCGCATGCGCGCCACTCGGAAATGGTCACGCGTCGTCCACGGTTCGAGAAGGGTCGTTAAATTGAAAATATATGTAAAAGTAAAACCCTTCAGCTCATCTGCTCGTGTGTGAATTATTATAAGTATATTGCCGGCCGGCTCCTATTAAAGTGAATTATACAGACAATTGAACAGTGATAGTGAATATAGCGTATAATATAAAACTTTGTTGCACGTGTACCTATACGTGCAAAGGTATATTCAGCCCAGGAGCGTGCCATTCACCCAGCGCCATCCATCTATCATCCGCCCATCTACATTCCAAGTAAGTGCACACCCTTACATCTCTCTCCCTTACAACTCCAACCCCCGATTCAGCTCACCGTCTATGTGAGGTGTCCCAGCCCTTACAAATTTTTGGGCGAGCCCTCACATACATTTTTTGGTCCTTCGGCCTCTGAACCACCCCCCTGTGGATAAACAGTGTCCTGAACCCGGGAAATAAGCCCAACCACACCCAGTTTTAAGAATAAAGTTACCCACATTTATTTATTTCTTTTTCAACTAAATATTTAAATCTCATAAATAGATAAAAACTTCTTGTGTATAATCATATAATCTCAGCCCAACTATTGAAATTCACTAATACATAACATTTATTATTAACATTTAAATATAAATATTTCACATCTCAATACATTGTTCCTATTGCTACGTAGGTAATAAGCTAACGCTTTCGAACATAATAAACGTCTCGTATTTCAACAAGTGTTTGATTGCATCATTTTTAAACATATAATTAATAACATAATAATATAAATAAATAAATAAAAGTTCATAGAAAAGTATTAACAATCGGCTCAATACTGCGCTTTATAGTTAGATCAGCTGAGTCGTAGCTAGGTCAAGGACACGGCGTGCGTCTCGATCATTAGTAAGAAAGAAGCAAGTGTTAACATATTTTATTTTTTTAATTTAAAAGGTAATAATTAGCGAAGTTATAGTTTTGTATTTGTACAGTGTTATAGATTGTATTATAATTGGTGCAGCGTTGATAGATATATATATTAATTGTACCGTATTATTTCTTCTCAATAGGCATTATTATTGTTTTAGCTTATAAATTTTTTAGTGTTAACTTTTAAATTATTTTTAAATAGATAGTATATATAGATATTCTGCTCACTTTAGTCTTCGCTCCGCACTTATCCGTTGCTCGGCTCAATAACATTATATTATAACATTTATACCACAATCTCACATTCAATTATTTTTTAACCGACTTCCAATAAAGGAGGAGGTTCACAATTCGATTGTATTATTTTTTGGTCGTCTCTTTTTTTTTTCTCACTTATTTAATTATATAGTAATTTACATACAATGCCGTCAAAATCTCAAGCAGCTATTTTTCGTGAGGCGATAAAGGCAATCAACCAGCTCAAGGAAATTGCCTTGGCGGTGACAGCTAAGGAAACGAAAAAGTATAGTATAACGGATTTTACTGCTAGGTACGCCAAGCTAGAGGAACACAAGCGCAAATTGGAAAACGTCTTCTACGAGATCCTGGATGACGAGGACCTCACCGATGACGTCGAGGCCACATATACTAAGAATTATGAAAAGGCGATTTCAGAATACAATGATATCCTAGTTGCGTTTGAGAAATTAA